GGAATACACGAAACCTTTTTAAATTTTTCATGGACTTATATCATCACATCGATCAGTGCGTTATTTATTCAGCTCACGTAGTAATTCGGACGAGTTTCTCCATTTACAAGCATTCGCGTCTTTCTTTCTTATTTACTTGTTTGTGCTCGCTTTATCAGATATTGAATAAAAACATACTGTTAGTGTTTAATTTTTATTCGTGAACAGACGAAAAATCTTCATTGGCTCTGTCTAGTTTCATACAGTACTAATCGAGATTGAGTTATACAAAATAATACATCAAACGTCGAATAAGCGAGCTAAATCTAGTTGCTCTCGGAATTAAACAGTCTGCGACGAGTGAGTTGAAGCATCAGAACGAGGTAGAGATTAATACTGTGCAAGTGTCGGTGGAGCCGAGAAGCAATAACGTTTCGTTAATGTCTCCCATCTAGAACGTACGCGGTTGGTTGTTTTATGTCGCTTGACACCCACAACGGAGTATGTATGTCTTAGTATGTACTTATTTCACGTCGCATCGACTCCGGGAACTAACGAGACTGGCACCCTAAGCCCTGGAATCACCATTTGCCACCCGTGCGGTCTCTGTATTGTTACAAATGGTGCAGATCTGCTCGGAGGCGCCGTGCGAAACCTAATGAGCTGTGAAGCAGATAAGGTGCGCGACACGAGAAGACAGGATCATCCCCTATCTATGCGAATGCTGCTCCGCGCTTAAGACGAATGTGACGCTTTGTGTTGCCAGGAATTATGCTATTTTGAATACTGTATCTTCCACGATACTTAGACACCTATTCTCCCTGAAAGTGTAGTGACTGCTAATGGGAATGAATATTCTGTGACCTTCTATCCATTTTTACAGACAAGATTCAAATTCAACAATGAAATGGTTTTCGACTTGATACACTTTCAGAGAACTCTCTCATTCGTAGCTAAAATGAACGTGCAATTGAAATACGTAGGAAAAATAATAAAAACACATTGTTTTTTTTTACATTCATTTAACGCAAATGATATTTTGTAGTGTACTGTTTGAAAAACTCTGTCGATAGTTTATTCCTATTATTTAAATAAAAATGTCGACAATTTTCCATTGATACGTGATTTTTGCGTCTGGAACCTTGATGAATATTCACGCAAAATAAAGGGATGGGCAAATTGTGATCCCTAAGAAACAGTAATAATGAAAAATAGGTGCTTCAAAGCATGCATTTATTCAGGATGACAAAGAACAGACGAACAGAGTAAAGGTTGTCGGCGAACCAAAATGAAATGCAACGTCAGCGGCGGGCGGTGGCGGTTGCGGGCGGCCTTTTGTGCCGCAGCGCGAGACGATCCCCCAAATTCTCTCTGTAAAAATTGATTAATATTGTCCCAACAGAGCCGTTTGTACCGCAATAAGTGGCATGTTCACTCTTCCATGCAGCAAAAAACTCGTAAAAGGAAATGCTTTAAATGGATTTCTCGAGCTGTTATTTTCTTATTTCGAAAAGACGAAAAAGACTTGCATACGTAAAGTGCAATAGAGGTAATAAAAAACATCCACTCGAATGTAATTGTGCCAATGGCAATGCTCTGTGTTTATTTTTAGACGCACGTAATTGAGACTATAGAGATGCACAGTTGGGAAAAAAACTACAGCAAGGAAAAAAACACTGAGTGCGACACACACGTGATATGGGCGCAAAAAATTTCGTCACCTGACATTGTTTATTAGTTTAACGGCACTTTTGTGCCGTCATGTGACTGCGGTCTTGTTTAGGGCATCGGGTGAAAAGGTAAAAATTTTAACGCAACGTGCAATGTACAGGCAGTAGTAACGTCACGGCGAGCAGGTGGCAGATTATGAATTGAGTTAGAGCAACTCGCGAGGCTGTTCGTCGCGTAAAGGGACGTAGTCGCCTGGACGGCCGTCGCATCGTAATTGATGTGTGTAGCTTTTTGTTGTGCTGCGGCCGTTTGGTGTTTGCCGTCGCCCGTGGTCAAGTTAGACTAAATTAAATTGTTGTATTTTTCACGACAAAATTACTGTGGCGAGTAACGTGAGTCTCGTTAACGAGAAGGCGGATAATGTCGTTTGGTCGAGCGGCGACGCCGCTGTGTGTGGTAAACACATTTAAAAACATTTGAATCATAGGACTAGGACTCAGGTAAACTAATTTGCTGCGTTCTATCTCAACCGTGGTCAAATGTTTTCTCTTATTTCAGTTTTCATAACGAATTTAAACAGGACCCGGAAATGTTGCAGATCATTTCGGCTTTATAATGTTTAGCTTCCGTTTTCGAATGAATCGATTTATTTTCGTAGCTGACATCAAAACATAAAATTTTAATAACGATTTGGATGTTATGAAATTTTTGATTGAAAAATGGGTATAATAACTTCTTGGACCCAAAATAATCCGTTGAGCAAAGATTGAGTACAAACAATTTGCGCGGGTGAGGGTACAGTCGTGGCGGCGATTAATTCAGGCAATCATAGGTAGCGCATTCCAATTTAGAGCGAGCCAAAAATTGGATATGCGGTGAATAATCATGTTCCCTGCGGAGTCAACTGCGTTGTCCACATTTAAGGTAATTGCCAACAGTTTCGGCTGACGTGGTACCGGTAAACCTGACACTTTCTCTCATGAGACCCACCCTTTACAATCCCATTAATAAATGCCGCTTAATCAAATTTTTATTTATTGTTCTCGGCGAGTTTTGGCCGTGTCGATTACCGGTTACATTGCCCTACTTAGATTTAGAAATAAAATAGGATTGCGTAAAAAGGAATGATTAATGAATTAGATGTTCATGTGTTCGTGTTTGCTTAGTGTATCATCGTGAGCTATAAATGTTCTAATTTCAGTTGTAGAATGAATAGATTGACGCAACAAATGCGAAACGTAAAAATTGCGTGATGTTTAGCCACTCTTGACTATCCCATAGAAATTACCCATAAAAACTAGTCATAGTTCAAGGAAATAATCTAATTTCTTATTGATACATTGTTTTCTAGGTGAATTTAGGTGCCTAGTAACGATTAAAGTTCGGTACAATGTGCTTTATATTGAGGAAATAAAGGATTGTAAGGTATCATTTGATAAATTACCATATATAACAAAAACACGGTTGGGTAGGAAGTGCTATTTGGAAATACAATTTGGCACATATGCCCAACCTTATCGGGCGAGTGAAAGTTATTCCTTTGTAGTCTCTGTTACGCACTTTGGCCTAAAGGTGTGACTTGTACTTACATTAATTGTATCCGAGTTATCTACCTGAATTATTATGGCGGCTATGAATAAGAACATATTAAATAGAGTATGCAAATCCCCAGCCAAGGTAAGAAATAGTAGAGTCAAGCAAATATAGCCGCAATGACCTTTACAAAGAGTTTATTATCCCATCACGAACGCACCTATTACTTTTAATTTTCAACAATCTTTGATGACTAACAAAGCAATAAACATTAATAATATGAACTGAGTCTAAAGCATTGTTGTACACCCTGACCTCCAAAATGACCGCATTTTATGACACCAACCACATTGGCAACGTCTCTGCTGACGCCTAACACGCGTAAAAATTAAACGTAAAACGCCTTGATTCGAGAAGACAACGTGACGGAGTGAACCGGGGAATGTTGTCACACTCGAGATTTACGGGGAAAACGCAGGAGGCTCGAGGGGCGAGGTAAGGGACCGCCACTTGGACACGTAGCACGCCCCCTCCCCGCACCTCCGCCACTTATTCATCATTTACGTACATTTCAGTGTGATTTCGTTTGGGATCGTCGCGGAACTCCGGTCCCTCTTACTCACTTACATTAGTTACGATACTGAATCTCGTTTTATTCAATTTCCAGCGACCTATTATCTTTTGCCACTCATAGTAATGGGGATTCCCTTTGCAGATGTAGTAATATTTCTCGAATGTTTTATAATTTTTATTCCGTTTTTGGCTGGATTTCGCAATTAAATGTGCGATCCGTTGATGTGCTTCAATGGTTTACTATAGAACTACTTTTGCATATGATTTAAAATAATTCACATCTATGGAACCCAACTTTTGTTCACGGAGAAAACGTTATCAACTGGCTATTCAGCCAATATTCCCTCAGAGAGTAGAAATTGGGTTTAAATTTATGTCACGTTTGAGTATGACAAAACGTAGAGTCTACAACTCGTAGAAGGTTAACTGCTTGACTTTTGTCATTCACTTTCCTACTTATTTGATACGCTAATGCCGAACGACGGGCTGAAAGGATCTCTTGAAGGAGCACTTATTATATGCAGCATCTGCCAAGTTTTTATGTAGCGTAATTACAATATCGAAGCTCAATGGTTCGTTACTGATAGCAAACCGAACAAAAATCGAGACGGCCATTGTTAACTTGTCGTCGCAACCTTTTATGCTTCGTTATTACCCCGCATAAATATTCAAGAAGAAAACAGGTACCGTCTTTGACAACGAGCCGTGCGGCGATATTGACATTAAAATGGAATCCCCTTTAAACGTCTACGCTTTGATTGTTAAAATATGCATTGAATAAATAAATTTGCTCGTAAGTTTTGAGATTACGTTCATTGAATTTTATGGCTATTCGAAAGTATCCACAGTCTAAAGCGGGCGAGCTTTACATCTTAATATGAACAGATTAAGTATTAATCCATGTAAATTCATCCAACTAGGATGCTCAAATTATTTTGAAAACAGGAGCGTTCGATTTTCGGACGCGGATATCTTGGGGTGCCCATTATGCGTACTTCAGCAATAGCCGTAACCAACCTTTGCATGGAATGATCGCATTATATATATTAACGGTAATTATTCATAAATTTCGCCCGCCCACTGCGCGTTCCCTACATCGTTTCTAATTATTTTTACGTTACCAACTATCCGAACCTTTGTTTCGTTGAGCAATTGCGTAGATGATATATTCACCGTTTTGCTCCACACGACTCAGATAGTTGTTAATTACTTTGTTTCTAATATTGTTATAATTCTTGTTCCAGATGGTTACCAGGACAAAGAAAATCTTCGTAGGAGGGCTATCAGCACCCACAACGCTTGAAGATGTAAAGAATTACTTTGAACAGTTTGGACCGGTGAGTTGTTGTTTAAATTAGATATTTGAGATCTGGAAACGTGCATGTAAAGTAGGTGCCAAGTATTCGATTCATTATCGTGGTGAATATTCTAATATGAATTTGGAACGCTCCGACGACATGTTCTACGCAACGTGTCAGCGCTGAGAGCGCAAAGTTACGCCAACTTCGCTCACGAAATTTAATTTACAGCAAACTTTTTGGAAAAGTGTACTGAATTTGCGCTGTCATGTCTCAGTTGTTATTAGGCTACGCTAATTTCCCTCGCAGCTAAATCATTTCGTGCATACAATATTAAACACGTTACCCTCGAATTTGGCGTGTCGGTCAAACTTGCAAACTGTATTACGATTGTTTTATGCTCGCTTTATTTTGTTTTCTGTTTAATTTTACTGGTTAACCGGCTTAGTGGTTAGCTTTAGATTTCGATCAAACAAAAATTTCATATAAACCAGTTGTTTTGGAAATGTATGCAGCATAATTTCAATATGAACAAAATATTGTTTTAAAATTAACACTAGACTATTTGGAAAGTTAGCAACCAATTTCATTGTTCCAAATCCTTATTATATCAGATATTCTTAGCGTCAATCCCTCTCATATGGCGGTACGAAGGAAGGAACCTTAGAGCAGTAAAAACGAAAGGCAATATTCGCTTAGAGGGGCGGGCGTGCCTGTAAGTCTGCGATAACTTGGTCTTTGTCTGGCGGCGGCGACTCAGCGCAGGTGTCTATCTACAAAAGTTCCTCCGTAATTAGCCCAGTAGTAGCGTGGATGCGGACTAAGGAACTTTTCAGAATGCAACATTGGCTACAGCCGGGGAGTCATTGTGCCAGCTCTCAAAGTAATCGGCGCCCGCCAGCCGCCCGCGACGATCAAGACCTTCATTACCTATTATGAGAGTTTAGAATAAAGCCAACGAGTTTTTCAGAGTGGATGTGATTGATGCCGAACGAAGGAAATATCCCGGGAGAGATAAAAGGAATTTAATGAAGAGTCTTTAAGAATAATGATTAAGGGAATGGTTATTCCTTTTGGTCGACAGCCTAATGATGGGGTCTTTTGAATTACTTTTTGCGTCTACAAAATATTGTTTAACCGCAATTATTTTAATTAAATCCGCGGGTGGATGCGAATGTGGTGGGAGAAATGTGTATTTGAAAATTTTGCAAAGCTGTGGCTTAACCGTAAATAAACTAACCTAAGACATAATTCATGTAGGTAGATTTAATTTTTATGACGATCCGAATAGTATTTTCAACACAGGTATTACTATTAAATATCATTATTACATCCTGGAACTCAAGCGAGAATTCTGATTACAAATTAATTCAATAACATTCAAGTTGTGCACTGTGCTCCCGACTCGGCATCATTTCGTAAGGGTGTCACATTTTGAGCAAGTTTAATTAACAATCTAGTCGCTTTTGTAGGTGCCTTCATTAGTGTATTTGTGGATAAACATAGCGCAAACTCTGCGCAATCCACGAGCGTGCGTTTGTGTGGGATACGTGTCGCGGGGTTCATGTATCCAACAAGGACGTGTCATGCGTGATCACGACCACGCCGCTGCGGCCGTTGAGACGTCACGCCGACTATTGAAGTTGCTATCGCTGCCGCGGTGTTTCGCGACGCACTTCTCCTCGTCCACCTGACGCACCGCACGTCATTTACCAACACTTTGTGCGTGTGCTTCGTGACTCCGATGCTTCGATACGGCTACTACCTACCTACCCGCGAGCTTTCCGAATGCAAACTGTCTCAGAATATTAAATGAGCCACTTAAATACTGAACACAATGACTACGCCCACCTGAAGCAAGGGCCGCGGGGACGCGTGCACGCAACGCCGCCGTAAATGAAAGCCCGACGGGTCGGGGCCGAAGGGTGGGCGAGGTTCAACCCCGGTAACGATTTCCTCCAGATAATGGAGAATTTTCTGATGAAAGCTGCTCGACAGTGCCATTTTAAGGATTTAGAACCCATCAGATTTATAGGCCGAACGGACGCTCGACGCAAATTTTGTTTATCACGACACTGTATTCACTATCGCATGCGTAATGCCAATGGGAACTGCGACTTCTCTACAAGTATTCTTGAACGTCCCTATTTCTTAAGTTAACTTTTTAATGTGCCAGCTGCAGTTGAACTAAAGACTTATGGAGACAACGTGATGCCAGTATTTAAATCTGCGCAACTGCTATGAAAAAAGAAGCATATTGCAGCGAGATAATTTTATGGCGCCGCCGGACGTTTAAGCTAACGCAAACACGTACGTGAAATTACTTCCGGGCATACATTTTCAGAAACGGTTTTAAGGTGAAGGTAATTTGCCAAATCCAGTTCGCCATAAAGTTCAGCTCACGAAACTCTCTTTAAGTATCTCCTGGTAGATTCAGCAACAAATTTTATAACTCTGCGTCAAAACGTTTATAAGGGTACAACAGGCGGTTTCCAGATAAGAGTTTATATGTTAAGGAACTTATGAATGAAGGATGGTCGAATGAAAAATGTGTACAACAAAACACAAACAACGAAGTATTCTTATTTAACAAGGGCTTTGCAATGACGACGAGTAATCAAAGTTTAGAACTGAGGAATTGGGTATGCAAATCACAGCCGAAGTCGCTTAAAAGTCGAATGCCGCCTGCGACTTAAAAATTAATTAGCCAAACGACCGGTGTAATCTCTGCAGGCTTCGTCGATTAAACGCTATCCGGTGCGGTTGTTTGTTTATAATATTTACTCGACGGCCGCCAGAGCAAGGGTGTTGTTTCTAGCCGCTCCCGATGGCTCATACAATCTTTTGACCTTGGCTCGCTGTCGGTGTCTGCCAATCTCGATCCCACACAGTCAACAGAAAACGCACCCTTGTTCCTCACAATTTCGCCGCGGATTGCTTTTTTTCTGTTCTCTCATGAAAATGTATGCCGTCTTTATCTGTCTATCTGCCTCGCTAAAGCGATCTTATATTTAATGTTAAGCGGACAACTTTATTCACAAGAATTTTGGCTAGGGGATGTTTAAGTAAAATATCTTTTTTCCGTGAACATTATTTTTGTATTATTTTTAGATTTACAAGAGCGAGACAAACAATTGAATCCGATTTTCTCACAACGTCGTTGTTATAATAATAACCGCATAATGTCTTCTACGACTCCTGAGAAGATAATCCATGCATTAATGTCTTACTATTTTGTAATAGGGTGTTTTTCAGTCTGCTACTTTTCGCCTAACTTAGAGCAACAACTTATTAATACTTGTTGAAATCAGATGCTTTATATTATTACTGGATCAAACTTCCCGACGGCTAACGAGGAAGTTTCCTAACCAATATAAAGTTAGCGAGCGAGCGTTCACTAAGCGTCGCACGCACAAGAGGGTGTCTTTGAGAAAGTTCCGTTGCATGCTTGATTCGCTATTGTTTTAGCTGTCGACCGAGTCCAAACTCTGACCGTCGGCGTCGTTTCAGCCGATAACTAGTACGCAAGTGTGTTGCCTTCCTCTACAACTTGCGCGATTATTTGTTATTATCTTCACATACACTTCTAACTTTGTATCGGCTATCGACATGTTCTCCTGACTGAGACTGCAAACCGGAATTTCGAATTGAGTTGCAAGTGGTTGCATGTGGTTAAATGGGAAATGGTTTGCTCAATTTGGCTTGGAATTTGTGTTGCGATCTTATTAATGCTTGCTGTTTTTAACTTTGTTAACTTAAGACTTTTAATGTTCAGTAATGTTCAATGCTTGAATGGATCTACGTAATTAAAAAGCTGATATAGAAAAGCGTAGATTTCAATATCTACTTAGGTATATGTTTTTTTTATGATACCAAGCGAAGGGATAAACAAGTAGTGCACCTGGTGTTTAGCGATACGCCTGTCCATAGCATTTGCAGTGCGACTCAGGCCTTAAATCGCACTGATCTGAGGGTCGTATTCTAGAACTCTACTCAATGCTCAAGTCAGGACTTGAGTATGATTCAAAGCACTAGAAATCATACTCAAGTCCTTGCCGTTACGGTCGTATTTCTAGTGCTTGAAATCATACTCAAGTCTGCTCAAATCCTGACTTGAGCATTGAGTACAGTTCTGGAATACTACTCTGAGAGGCACTGCCACTGCGCCTGTGACCCAGAGGCTAGAGCTAGGCGGCAAAAATAAGTTAGGGCGGCAATACTTCCCTCGAATGTAACTCTTTCTTATTATGTTTTGCACAAGTTTTTGCGCCTTATGAGTTGCACGTCCTGTTTATTTGCTTAATTTCTAAAGCGTTTGAATGACAAATTTCAAATTCTGAATTTCTGTTCTAGTATTTCGGGTATTGATTCCCTGAGTTTCCAGTGAGCAAACAAGCCAACGTGATCTAAACGTCGTTTAGTGTCAACAGTTCTCGAACTGTAACTGAGGCGGGTCCAGAATTTAGCTTAACTGCACGGTAGGTACGTTATCATCGGGAGCCGTATATCAATCAGTTGTTACAACGCTCTACGGTTGTCGTTTATCTTCAGAGCCGCTCGGATCTGTCTGTCCAGATTCGTGCATTGTTCCGACATTAGCCACGGCTGCCGAAACGGTAGATGTCTGAAATGCCAGTGAGGTTGTGGCGTTCCCATTGCAAGCGCATCGAGCGCCCGATAGCGTTTCCAATTTCCTGACTTAAATTGCTCTAATTTGGTTATGCGCTGACGGGTGATCGAAGGCTGCTAAAGTCGCAGTTACTAGCGACAGTCGAGCTGTGGCTTGTAATTTTGTGTTCGCTTTTCATTCCGTTCTGCGTCCAATTTTTCAACTCTCCCGTTTCAAGTGGCTAACAAACACAAAGCGTGTTTCCTCGTTTATGAAAAACGTCCTTCATTTTTATTTGTCTGCCTTTTTTGTTATTAATTATCTTTTTGTATTAGCATAGAAATAGAAAATATGTACACATGTATTTTTACCTAAATAACACATATGTGGAAAAGCAGAATCTTCGTGAGTTCTAACTTATCAGTTGTGA